TCATTAAAATACAGCAAAGAGAAGCATAAAAACACAGACCAGCAACACGGACATGAACTACAGTCAGTCGGGCAGGAGGAAATGAAAGGAGCGGAGCAATGAGGAAAAAAAGTCTGGGGTTTTCCAGGGGTAGAATACAATGGTAAACACGTCAACAGGACCGAGTCTCTGACGGGGGAAATCAACAAAGGATCTGTTGACCTGCTTGGACTGACTGGTGGCAGGTTGCATTATATTCTATAAGTGTAGAAATAGCCAAATGAAATTGTTCAATAGATTTTTAATTTTCAGCAAAAATCTGTGAAATCAGTGACGGGTCACTGTGTTTCGCCACAACGCTGAAACTGTCACAGAGCACAAATGTCACCTCTGACCCTCTCTTTGTGCTCGCAACATAAAATACTGATTAAATCTCTGTCAGTGCATGAACGAAACTCTTACCAAGACCTTGTCCATGATGTACAAATGTGTTGTTTGTTGCCAGGACAAAGATTTCCATTGTTTTCGCATTTCATGAACTTCTTGAAAATTACTTGACAATGCTATACGTAGTGCCACAGGAATGAGTCCCGAAACCCGCAAATGAGTTCAGTCCAGTTCCCTGCTCCCGAGGTCGATTCGTTTGTTGAATAGCTTTTCAGTTAGATGATTGAAATAAGGCCTGTGGTTAAAACACAAGCTCAAGATATTTTCATGTTTTATTCTAAGACATAAAATATGTCAGTAAATACCCCAGTCGTGATTTCTTTAAGCTTTTACGTCCCTTAAAAAAAGGCCGGTTGCCAACAAGTGGCTGAATGAGACGACAGAGGTTATAAAACATGCTCACGCCAAACAGGAGAACTGATCTACTCACCAGTCCACCTTTACAAACTCTTACTAACGTTGCAAGGGGAGAGGCTTTTGTAGAAGAGCCGAGAGCTAAACTGCATGTTAGAAGTTTAGTGGCGGTGACGTTGAGTTTTAATTGCCTAACATTAGCTTTTCACTTATGGCGATTGGATTTTTTGGCTTCAAACATCGTAAAGTGGAGTTTATTTGTGAAGATTATCCTGCTGAACAAAACTTGTGTCATAAAAGTTTGTTTGTCACAGAGTTAATTTTTCTCCAGTTATCCAAAAGCGGATGTAAAAGTCCCATTGGCCTTTTGTCGAGGGAACCAGGGTGTTGCTGACTTCCAGGTTGGTATACAGGTCATCTCTGCGGCACTATATAGAGGACGGAAGTTGGTCTCAGGTTCGACACCTGCACTGTAGTGACATGCAGCGTTTCCACAGGTTGGGGTCAAAATCAGCAGTTTCTGACATATTTAATGTGATTGTACATTTTATGACGGGGACAAAGCGAGAGGAAGGCTATGAGGGGGCCAAGGGCAAGAAGAAAAAAAGGAGGCAGAGGCAGAAGAATGGGGCGAGCAGCAGGGAGGAGGAGGTAGTAGGGGGGGTCGTTGAGGGAGGGGGAGGGGGGGCGTTTGCTGGTGAATGAGAGCAGAATTCATTTGGAGGTGAATAGAAACAGCTTGGCTCCTTTCAGACAGACTTCTGTCACGCTGGGGGGGGGGGGCGTGCCGCAGGGGCCAAAGGGCCAATGTTAACACCAGGGCCGCTACACACTTTATATGCTAACACGCTACAGAGACACTGGCAGGGATACAACACACACACACACACACACACACACACGCAGACACACGCAGGTACCGAGTGAAAAGAGGGGCTGCTGGGAGTCGTCTGCTTCTATTGTGTGTGTGTGTGTGTGTGTGTGTGTGTGTGTGTGTGTGTGTGTGTGTGTGAGAGAAAGAAATCCAAGCACACTTGATGAAGAGGAATGAGACATTTGTCCCCATGAATCCAAACACACCTACACATTTCATTACATTTACAGACTTCAAGCCGCTGGTCTACAGCTATAAGAGGTTGGTACCAGGTCGGCGTTACACTGGAGAACTCTCTGATGGCGCCGCAGTGAGACACGGCCCTCCCTGATTACAGCCACATAAAAACACAACTGCTGCTCAACAATTTCACCGTGTTCTGTTAAATGACTTGTTTCGTTTAATGCATCTGCTGCTGAACTGAAACGAAGAGTTTTATAGGGAGTTTTATGGCCCATTATTGCCTTAATTCTGTTTAGAGATTTTCTGGCTGGGAAATTAATCACAAAAGAATCTGTTGTGGAAACAACTTAATTTCTCTTGAGCATTAAAATGTAAAAGTTCATTTAGCAGCAAATATGTCAGTATGTGAAGATGAGACTAATAATCCTGTAAAGTGCAAGAAAGAGAAATGTGTTGGGTTTTTTTTTTGCACTCATAGACACAGACACTGAAAATCTATTTGTCTCTTATTGTGCTCTGGTCCGGATAACTGACCTATAATGTGTGGCGTCAATAGTGAGGATGTGGCTGATGGTTTGAGGTGTCGTGCACTTGGTATAAAGCGAGTAGGAGCTGCATTTTCACACGGTGAAGAAAGTATTTTCTAATTGTACTTTCCACTCTGCAGATTCATATCTTACGTGCACAAGCAAAGATAAGAGATGTTGTGAACACGGTTGTTTGGATTGCATTGACTTAAAACCATTATCCAACTGGTGCCGAGCGCAATGAAACCGTTTCCCAGTCTAGTCCTGGTCGCCACTGTGGTCGTGTCCCTAAACAGCAGAGGGAATCTCTGTTTGGTTTCCCTGTGTACTGAGAGTAAAAAGCCTGAAATGATGAATCTGCACATCGTCGTTGAGAGGATGTTGTCAGCTGCTTGATAAAATCCTCCTGCACACAGATGCTATCAAGCTCACAGAGCCGATGGTGGCGGCGCATCGTGTGAGACAGGATGCACGAATACTGTTTACAGGAAGAAATGAAACCTTGCTGTCGACGAAGGGTGCACACCTCACCGTATGAGCTGCTGTGTCGTGCCTACGCAGACTGCCACATGACACCTGAGGAGAGTTGATATCTTAACTCTTTTAGACAGGAAATAAATAAGAAGTTAAATCTTAAAGTTAAACTTATCTTACAATTGCATGTTTTTTTTTCTCCTTGAACCAAACCTCCCTATTTTATATGCTCATAATTCTGCTGTAAGAATATGAAGTTTCAAAATAAAACTTAAGTATGCTGCATACTTCAGTACCTTAATGTCTTTGTCTACCTTGTAAGAACTGTACTAAATTATATATTTTTTGACTCACTAGTAAGTATTCTTATTCATTTTTTCTCAATTTCCTTCCCTTTTCATGGCTGTAGTTTCTATATATTCCATATAAACTCATTTAAAAGATGAATTCGTGCAGGTTCGTCAGCCTCCTAATGTAATTTATCTTGCAGCTGTCACTCCACATGATATCACCTCCTTTAATCTGATGAAGGTGTTTGCTTGTCCCTACAGTGCGAAGTTAATTAGAGCTCTGGAGGAGTGATATTAGATCAACAGGTCATCAATTAAAAAGCCTTTGTGTGTGTTTGCATTCGGCTGTAAAGGCGCAGATGGCGATAAAATAAATAAATAAAGAAAAACCAGCAACCGGTGGAAATGCGTCTTTTGTTTACTGCGCAAACGCATTGAGTTTTTGTGTAGAGGCCATTAACGGGCCGATGGGAGGCGATCAGCGGCCTGTGATGATGACCCCAGTGTGGACCGACCGCTCCGCTTGCGTGCGCGCGCTTGCGTGCGTGTGTGTGTGTCCGCGTTAAAAGTGCGACTGATGATGCGAATGTGTCAATGTACGAAAAAAAGACCCAGAAATCCTGGAATATCATATAAATATTACTAACAGCCTGTTGAACCCGAAGTCACGGCTACAAATGTTAGAGTGGACATTTAAGATCATTAACATCAGCGTTACAGGAATATGAAAGTGATTGTGCTTCAGTGGGTTGAGTGAGGAGGAGGCAGAGACAGTGACAGTGACATACTGATGCACCGCAGAGCCTCTTCAGTCTGGTGAAGGCTGAGCAGACAGAAATAGCTCCAGGTCTGTTGTGTGAATGTCACGGAGCTGGATTATTCTGCTGCTTGTTTCAGATGCTTTTGATGAAAAGATACACAAACACTGGAGAGTCTGCGCTGTACAGGAGGACCTTTATTGTTTTGACCATGTTATTCATACAGAGGCTGTTGGAATCACCCTGTATATAAAGTCTAGGTGAATGTATGTAAATTCAGGATCTGCTCTTATAGCGTGAATTTTGCATTACAACATCCTGTGGGGTGTCTGTTCTCTACCAGCCTGATCCAAATCTACTGTCTCACCACAATGCAAAGTTATGCAAACCAAGTGACAAGATGACACAACACTCAGTTGAGTTAGAGAAAAGATGGAGTCAGAGGGACGAATGTTTCATGGAGATCTTGCTCCACCTGTTGTGTGGCTCTGACCTTTGACCTCTCTGAATGGAGGCCAGAGAAAAGAGAGTTTCTCCATCAAAACACGTCTGCAGGTCGATATAAAAAACCCTGTCGTTAAAAAGAAAAGGTGATTTTTCTTCCTTTGTTATTCCAGTAAAAAAATCAGCCACACATACTTTGTCTTTATTCTCATATTTGTGCCAAAATAAAATGTTTTTTATTTAAAATTTTATTATTATTATATTTCATTTATTTTTAATCCGGTGTTATAATATTGTAACAACAGTTTAAACTTAAAGGTCTCAGTTTTAACTTTCTGAAAGTTTGTATTTCTTTATTATATACTTGTGTTATTATGGCCTTATACCCCTAGCACTCTTATTTGATACTCTCTCCCCTCCCTCTCTCCCTCCCTCCCTCCCTCTCTTCCTTCCTTCTCCCTGCAGTTCTTCTGTTTGTTTGCACTCACTTGATCCGGAGCGGAAATTCCTCTCCGTTTTTGTGAATGACAAACTCATTAACAATTCATCAACACGGGCCGTTCCATCCGGCCCCCGTTTCCAAGGCGACCGCCCCTGGGGCCGCTCTGATTGGCCGGCCGACATAATGTATCCAATGAAGCGCCTCCTGTTTGTAGCCATTCAGCAGCCTGGCGCCGCAGAGAGCGCATTGAGCCAGAGCCTGCAGAGCGTCGATTCACACCGCAGACAAGAGAGGGGGGAACAGGCGGCATCCGCAGGCACAAACAGTCGGACATAACCCGCATGGTTCGCAGCCACAGACTACACCTCCCCTCCTCCTCTAGCCGACCGGTCTGCATTGAATCTCCGAGAAGGAACCCAGAGTTGGAGGAAGCCGCCGCGCTCGGATCCGTGGAGTTATATAAGAGCAGAGGAAGCGTCAGCCCCGTCGCAGGGCCGGTGTGACTCATTGATAAATAACACAGGCTCTCTCCGACCAGATGCATGAATGAGCGCCAGTGTAGGCAGCCCGCAGTCGGGAAATCTGTGAAGGGGACCGGTGTTTTAATTGGTCTCGTCCCGGAGCGCACGGGACACTGAGAGACATTTGCAGGGAGAATTTATTGGACTGATTTTGCATTTTCACGTCACTCTTTTTTTTGTGTTTTTTCTTACACCTTTGCCCTCAGTTGCTTGTGTTGCTGCGGGCCCTCCGAGCAGCGGAGCGGACTGAAAACACAGACCTACAGATTGTTTCCTCGCTCGCCTCCTCGCCGCTGCAGCCAGGAAGCTCCCCGCTTTCTCAAAAACATTTTTTCTTACTCCTGCTTATAAATGCTTGACAAGCTCAAGCCCGTCGTCCAGCTCGACTCGGTAATGGCGATCAGCAAGACGGTGGGCTGGCTCCGGGAGCAGCTGGAGACGCGCAGGGACGGGCTGCTTGTGATGGACTGCCGGGCCCAGGAGCTCTACGAGTCGTCGCACGTCGACACGGCCATCAACGTGGCCATACCCAGCCTCATGCTCCGCCGGCTCAAGAAGGGCAACCTGCCCGTGCGGTCGCTGCTCTCCGACGGGGAGGACCGGGAGAGGTTCGTGCGGAGGTGCAAGACGGACACCATCGTGCTGTACGACGAGTACAGCCGGGAGTGGAACGAGAATGTGGACGGGGGCTCGGTGCTGGGTCTGCTGCTGAGGAGGATGAAGGACGAAGGCTACAAGGCCTATTATCTGGAGGGTGAGTGCGGTTCATTCACATTTAAGGGCCCCGCGGCCGCTGCTGTTCATTCACACCAGCAGATTTTTTTTTTTTTTTTTTTTTTTTTTTTTTTTTTTTGCGCAGAGACGGAAGGAGACGCAGTTTAATGTGAAATCTTATTTTGTTTTCATATGAAAATAATATCTGTGAAAGAGAATTTATTTAGTTACTGTAAAATAACAACTGTGTGAAACTGCAGTCAAAGAAAACTCTCTGTTTGCAGGAAAGAAAAAATAATTCTGCAGCTAAATGAGTGTTAAGTTAAGATGAATAGTTAATATCTTTGCAGTGTCACACACACACACACACACACACACACACACACACACACACACACACACACACACACGGTCATGTAGCGGCCTTCATTGGATCTATCTGTGTTTTATTTCCAGGTGGCTTCAGTAAATTCCAGGCCGAGTATCCAGCTCTGTGCGAGACCAACCTGGACGGCTCCCCGAACAGCAGCTCCCCTACCGCCCAGGTGCTGGGCCTCGGCGGGCTGCGCATCAGCTCCGACTCCTCAGACATCGAGTCAGACATAGACCGGGACCCGAGCAGCGCCACGGACTCGGACGGCAGCCCGCTGTCCAACCCGCAGCCCTCCTTCCCGGTGGAGATCCTGCCGCACCTCTACCTGGGCTGCGCCAAGGACTCCACCAACCTGGACGTGCTGGAGGAGTACGGCATCAAGTACATCCTCAACGTCACCCCCAACCTGCCCAACCTCTTCGAGAACGCCGGGGAGTTTAAGTACAAGCAGATCCCCATCTCGGATCACTGGAGCCAGAACCTGTCTCAGTTCTTCCCCGAGGCCATCAGCTTCATCGGTAAGTTTTCCTGCAGAGCTGGAAACACACTGCAGCTCCTCTGGCTGCAAACTGCCCCCCCCCCCTGTTCTGGTGTTTACATGCATTCACTTTTAGACCTTCAAATCATGATTATTTTCATTAATGATTATTTTTTATTAATGAAGAAACTGCAAATTATTGACTACCCTTCTAATTCTGTCTGTCCAACAGTCCAGAATTATAAATATACATAAACAATGACATGAGAAAAAGCAGCAACTCCTCACATGTGAGAAGCAGCAACCAGTTTATCAATTGATTACTGATTAATCATTTCACCACTAATAGCTTCAGTTCCTCACATGAAGACATTCTGTGATTGTTTTGAATATTGTGCAGACAAAGTGAAGGGAACAGCAGCAGATAGCGAGGGACATAATCTCATTAATTTGATATGTGTTATCAACGCCAGGAAGTTCTTAGGTTCTTATTGTGCAATTGAGATTAGATGAGGTGTCCCTGGCCGTGGTCTTATCAGTCAATCAGGCGGGGACACACAGAGCGGGCAGATTAAGGCCATTGTGTTTGAGGCAGAGGAATACAAGTCTGCCTCTAATGGCGCACAGGCTAAAATGCACTGTGTACAAATGATTTGACTTCAATGGAAGACATCCTGGCCTATCTCTCGTCCCGGGGCTTGTGTAATTGCAGCACAAAGGGCGACGTTGAAACAGGAGTACGGGGAGAGTGAGCAAGGGGGAGGGCGGTAATTCGAGCGCAACAGGAAGGAAGTGGCATTGAAAGTAATCTAGGACATGGCACTGCCCCCCCCTCCACATTACAAAAGGAGCCATTTACAGGCCCTGTTGACATCCTGTTCGCCTTGACAGGGTGCCCTCATGACTCCTACGTTTACACGCCCAAATGGCACCATTGTCGGAGTAACCCTAGCGAGCGGAAGAATGGTTTAATAGACCGTAATAGTCAATTTCCCAGCCGGCTACTCTAGGCCAAAAAAAAAACCCAAAGAATGTCGGCTCTGTTTATGTGTGCTACTGCTGCAGCCTCTGTTTGTTGACTGACACGCCTGGGAGATAGTCGGGATAATAACTTCCGCTGCTCTCCCTCCCTGGAGCCGCTCCAACTTCCAACACAGCTTGACTTAAATGTCACAGATGTTTATCGCCAGTTTTGTTCCGTCTCTGTTAAAAAAAGGTGGTGGTGGGGGGTGGGGGGGGTGGTGGTGAACTTTTCATCACTTGCATTTCTGAAAGTGCAAATAAGCAATTCATAAAATGGAAAATGTTTTTACAGTTTAGTTGACTCCCAGAAGAAAACGATGAATCGATTAGTCGTTAAAGAATCGATCATTCACAGCTCTAAGGCGTGGTTTATTTCATGCCGTTGAAACAGGTCTGTAACGTTTTCCCCCTTTCCCCCCCCAGATGAAGCGAGAGGCCAGAAGTGCGGCGTCCTGGTCCATTGCCTGGCTGGCATCAGCCGCTCTGTGACGGTGACGGTGGCGTACCTGATGCAGAAGCTCAACCTGTCCATGAACGACGCCTACGACATCGTCAAGATGAAAAAGTCCAACATCTCACCCAACTTCAACTTCATGGGCCAGCTCCTGGACTTTGAGCGCACGCTGGGCCTGAAGAGCCCGTGCGACAACCGCATGGCGGCGCCGAGCCAGCAGCTCTACTTCACCACCCCGACCAACCACAACGTCTTCCAGCTGGACCCCCTGGAGTCCACGTGAGGCTCCGCCGTCGCCACCCCCCCTTCCTCTCCTTTGCTGGAGGTTTTGCGGGCCTCCTGTCGGAAAAGCTGCAAAAAAAAGTTTCTCTTTTTCCCGTCGTCTGCCGTGCGACTGGGCTCTTGACGTTATTGATACAGCTGGTTTGAGGCGACAGCTGCCGAGCGCGGTTACTGCAGGGCAGCAAAGCTGTCTGGCGCAAGATGCAGCTGCTGTTGACTAAATGAGGAGAGACAGTAAAAGAGACAAGACAGAAAAAGAGGAAGCGAGTCGTTTGAAGAGTTGCAGATACTTTCTACAGTCCTATATCGCTGTTGGACTCCTGAGGTCTTTTATCTCTTTTGTCATTGTGAGGAAACTTCAAGTGATTTGTGGGACAGCCGTACGTTATGCTTCAAAGTTCCTAGGCTGGTGTGCCAAAGATACATGATTGTTCAAACTGGACAGATCTAAAAATGAAAACCTTTTTTAATGTTTGTTTTGGGGTCTGGCACTGGTCCCCCCCCCCACCCCCCCACCCCCCCCCGCCGCCCCCGAGACCTCAGGGAGCGTCCTCTCCCTCGTCTTCTGTGAAGACTTGCCTGTGTGGGGGCCGAAGCACCTCAGCTTTAGATGGCACACTATATACTGGACTCGATTTTACAATTTGTGGAGTCTTTTCAAACATTTATACATTGTGTATATATCTTAATATAAAAGACAATACAGTAAAAGCCTTGCTCTAGTATACACCCTTTGCAACAAGTGGGTACTGAAGATTCTCTTTGCTTATATAAAAAGGTAGAAAATGAAACAAACAAACTGCATATTGATTCATATGTTTAAAGTTTATTATGCCAAAAATCAAGTAGGCTTTCTGAGAATTGTGGAGAAACGTGTACATGTGTAATATATTTGATAATCGCTTTACGTGTGAATTCAGCCGACCGGCCTTGTTTTTGCACCCACCCTCTCACGAATCAAAGTCACTTTGGTTGTTTGCCTTACTTTTGTGCTCAGAAGGTTTTTAATGCATTAGCCTTCAGAGAAAAATTCAATTTTCCCAACTTCTCTACAGCAGAGTTTTTTTTTTTTTTTTTTTTAATTTTCACACTAAAATCAAACCAAACCTTTTTCTTTTTGTTATTTTTAATTTGGCACCACATGAAATATAGTCGTCAGAAACGTGTTGTCTGGATCTCTGAAGGTTAATGTGAGTAATCCTGATCTGTGCACAAGGGTTAAAAGTCTCTGACATGTGGACAAAGCAGGAGGCTTTGCTTGCCTCGCCTCTTCAGGGAAAACTCTGTGAAATGCAGTTTTTTTTTTTTTTGTCAAGATGAGAGAAAAAAAAACGAATCCAGAGCTTCGGAGGGTTGTGTTGCCCCCCTCCAGAGAGTAGGCCTCTTTCAAGAGGACGCCAACTTGGTGACCTCTGCCACCCCCAATCCCTCCCCGCCCCTCCACACTCCTCTCTTACGAATGTAAAGAAAAGATAAGTTATTAATAAATTGCTATTTTGTCTACACTTTCTGCTTCTCATGCCTGTTTTTCCATCGACACACTCTGTTGGTGTTTTGTCTGTGTCCACAGTAACACGTTTATGTAAGCGCCTCCTCGCTCGCAGTACGGCTGAGCGTTAACCACCAGGCCAAGTCACGACAACAACAACAACAACAACAACAAAAAAAACATACGCCATGAATCATGAGGCTGTTAATTAACCATGCCACTCGACACATCTCCCACTTTATTTCCCAGCTCAGAATTAGCATGTCCTGTCACATTGCCTTGTGTAACAAAGCGCCGTGCACACTCTGTTCTCTTGTGACAATCATTCACAAACTGCAAAATGCCATTCAACAGGTACAAACTGATTCCAGTCACGCTGTAAACAGCCCGACCGGTTTTTCCAGGTGGTTGCTCCGCGGCGAGGGCGTCGGGTTCAGACAAACACTCCCCTCGGGCACTTCCTGAAGGTGGGGCCTCTGTATTCGCCCCAAACAAAGGGAGCAGAAAGTACTTCGATACGGTGTCACTGGATAGCCAGCATAGCAGCGTGTACCTGTCGAGACCTGGAGGCTCGTGAGGAGATGATCGTCACGACGCAGGTGAGGGACGAAGGATCATTGCGTTCTCACACAAGCAGCAACTTGCTTCACAGCCCAGCAGAGCCGCGCCGCTCGGTCTTACACATGCTGATTAACAGCAGAAGCAGACCGCGTACTTGTGACCGGAGTGTGTCAATCCTCTGGGGTGTAGGGAAAGGACCGAGCGAAGCATTGATCTCTGTACGTGCAAAGTTACTAAACACATGGAGTTAATAGATCCGGATCACACAGAGCTCTTTGGGTCTGCAGAGCCCTTAATGAGTGCAGCATGCATGTGCTGCCATGAAGTAAAGTCTTCAAACTGAAGCTGAGAGAGTGTGTGTGTGTGTGTGTGTGTTTGAGTTTGAGTCAACACAAACAGCAGCCTCGCTGTGATCATCTGCTAAGAGTCACTTACACAGTCAAGTGCAGTGTAGGCAGCACAGACACCGCGACTTGTGAGTTTAGAGTCTGAAGTTTCACAAAACATCCTGACACAAGTGATTCAATATCTCACTTATATCAAAAGCAGACAAGATAAAATATAAGCAGACAACTTTTTTCATCTTATCAGCATCCACTCATATTTTTTTCCTTATATTCAGTACAGGCGATCTGAAAAATTAATATATATAGGAAAATAGATGCCGCAGAGGCAGGAAGCTGAAGAAACATCTTGTAAAACCCAAAGCACATCACATTAATTAATCAACTATAATAATATGTGGCAGATAAGCAATTAAAGGACAAAGTGAATGGAAAAGAGAGGGTCTCTCTGTCATGTCTTTTTAGACTAGAAGTACAACAGCTGAACAAAGAGAGTGAATCATTGGCTATGTAACAAAGGACTAAACCTGCACACTCATGTCCTGACGTAAATGATTTATAAAAAGACTCCTGCATTTTAAGTCGGTGCCAGCGTTCGCCCCTTTGCCCACTTTCCAGTTCAGGTGATACTTTTCCACTTCCTGGGTAATCATTTCATAATAACACGACTCCTACAGTCCAACTGTAACAGCAGAGTAAACACAGTGAAGTGCAATGTTTGTTCTAACTCAATTAAGTGTCTCAGAGTTGTTAATGCGTCACATTGCCCATAAGAATTTGCATGACCAAGGGGCGAAAAACAGAAAACAGAAAACCTCAATTTATGTACACAGTGGTGTATATCAGTGATTTGTGCTGTACAGAGTGATATTCATCGTACCAGTTCATGCCCACTAGTACTGCAGGCAGATATCTGTGGAGGGATGTTACACTAATATTTAGTGGCATCTTCATTCATTAGTTTTTTTTCCCCTTCCTGCTCAATATTGTTTTTGTTTTATACTTTATTTTGTCAGTTACTGTCATTGAAACATTATACATTTCTTGTTATTTAAATATCAGAACACCGCTTCAGGGAATACTTGAAATGTTTCCACGGCGTGAAGTGCTGCAGTTCCTCTAATAACCGGTTCAAGCATCTGCTGACCAAATATTGAAAAATGTGACGTCTGAGGCCTCTGAATACCCTTATCAAGTAAAAGATAAGCGCATTACCTTAATCAGGTTAAGGCTGAATATTCAGCGCATGTGATCAGGCTAACTGAAAAAAGCACAAGTGTTCAGTCAGGAGTGGTGCCCTCAAAGTAGCATGAAATTCAATGTCTTGCTCAAGGACACTGAGACAGATATGGGCGCTCTGGCTGCTGCAGGGGATCAAACCTGTGAGCCTGCGGGTGAAGGGACAGGTCTCCTCAGCCATCGTCCATCAAAACCTAAACCCAACTATAGCCGAGCCTGGGAAGCTCTTATTCTTAGAACGGGTTGTCGTGATGTCATGGCAGGGCTGTGATTGACGAATAGGGCCCGGGGTATGCGCGGCATGCCGAGCGCCCCGGGGGCTCTCATGGCCGTTCTTCCTGTCTGCGGCTTGGCCTTTTACTGGCTTTAAAGCCAAGGATTAAAGGGCACAGGAAACTACCAGTGCTAATTTTAGACAGGTATGTAGATGGGCTTGGCAGACCCCATCAGCACCTGCATCACCACGGCAAGGCTGCTGCAACAAGGAAGGCCATACAGGGATCTGGAAAGACGTATGCATGGGTCATGGTGAGGGCTGTGGAGGGGGGAGGGGGGAGGGGGGAAGGGGGGGGGGGCGTCGGCATGTGGACATGTGGTCAGATGACTGATAGGCCTGGAGTTAAATGTACAGTAGTGAGGAGAGTAAGCAGGCGTTCAGACCAGAAATAGCACCGCATTAAAAAACACAAGGGACTGCACTTGTTTGATTTGTTGCTATAGATACAGGTGATGATGATACAGGAAGTCCAGTTTTAAGACTTATCAGATGCCAAAACTCTGTTTAGAATTCTTTGAGATGGGATTTAGAGCAGGAAGTTTATCCTCCTTCTCAATTATAGAGAGTTAAACAATAAAAATACCAACCTCCTTAGGTCACAAGATAATCTGCCAAGACCAAGTTATTGGCCAATGCATCATGTCGTGACAAAAGTTATACAACCATGGAATCGTTGTCTCATTAAAATTAATGTTGAGGCTGCATTTTATGTTTTTTCGCCCAGGAGGAAGAGGAGAGAAAAGGCTGAGGCACAAATGCAGCATAGATCAGTGTTTCCCAAACTGTGGGCTGTGTGAAAGTATTGAAAGTGGGCCGACAAAAAAATAAAAAAAAATAAATAATCATTTTTAATGTTTTAAAATTAAATGATCTTTAAATTGAAAATGTTTAAAAACTCATAGCTAGCCTTTTTTTCTTGTATTAAGGCCTGTAGCTGCGCTAAGCCAATGACCACATCATGTACGTGTTTCCTATCTCAGTCTGATTGCGTGTTGAAAGATTACATCAATGGTAAAAACTGGATACATGTTCCATCATTACCATCAAAATAAAAAGTGCTCTGAGAAGGCATTATTTGGCCTCTGTATTGTTATGGGTCGGATGTGGACCACTAACGTTTCTGAGATTTTCAAGTGGGCCATGAGTAGAGTGTGGACTGAGGTCCTGGGCGGGTTGACCGGCAAGTACAGAGGTGAGCCAGGCTTCTGGAGAGATTAGTTCACCTACATGAGCGGGAGACTGAAGGAGAGTGGAGACGAGAGACGAGCTCATACATCTGTGAAGTGTACTTCGTTAGCTAAATGTCATAAATGTGTCTGCACTGAAGTCACAGATGGCTGCGTGCAAGGAGCACATGAACCCTGAACATCAGTGCTGTTCGGTCTTGAGCTGATTCTTAAAGCTATGAAAAGATGACAGATAGAAAAGTCATGCAAAGCTGCTAATTACAGCTCCGCTGGGCTGGTAAGTGAAGTATATGCTGTATGTCTGAAATGATGAATAAGTGATGCATTACTTCTCTGAGGAACAGGACTTAACACTGATAACACCATGCTGCGTCATCAACTTACACTTAACATTGAGCTCTG